TGTCATTTTATGTGAAACCCTAATTTCACATGGACTTTGGTTGGGCCTTATGGTAAGACCTTGTAAAGTTTTGGGGCCAAATTGAAAAATTAGGCCATATGTTGGGCTTGGGCCTATTACTTGACTTTTGGGTCATTAGAGTGTGAGCTGGACCTTTAGCTGGGAACCCAATTATTAATTGGGTATTGTTTGATGTTTGTATCTTGGGATTCAGTCAACCAGCAGCTAGAGTTTTGTCTGCAGGACTTCAGCAGTACGAGGTGAGTTATCCTCACCATACTTAAGGTTCTAAGGCACCAAGGCCGGCCCTTTGAATTGTTATTGGTTATGTTATGTTACTTTTATCTGGTAGGTATCCTAGAGGGTAGGATGATAATATGTGATATGTAGTATAACCTGTTAGTTAGATATCCTAGAGGGTAAGATAATATTATATGTTATGTGGCATGATCTGATAGATCAGTTTGTTGTCCATAAACTATTATGTGATTATCTGTTATATTTGCACAGGTTTGTTTGGCGGTTGAGGCTTATCCGCTTTGTGCGAAAGCCAATAGACCTGGGCATTCCAACCTATTGGTTGTGGGCCATGAGGAGTCCATCCCGAGGATGATTGGACTCATAGTGTGTTGGCATTCCAACCTATTGGTTGAGGGCCTAGGGTATTCCATCCTGATGGTTGATTGGACCCATAGTGTGTTGGCATTCCAACCTGTTGGTTCAGGGCCTGGGGTATTCCAACCTGATGGTTGATTGGACCCATAGTGTGTTGGCATTCTAACTTGTTGGTTTAGGGCCTGGGGTATTCCAACCCAATGGTTGATTGGACCCATAGTGTGTTGGCATTCCAACCTGTTGGTTGAGGTCCTGGGGTATTCCAACCTAATGGTTGATTGGACCCATAGTGTGTTAGAATTCTAACCTATTGGTTGAGGGCCTGGGGTATTCCAACCCGATGGTTGATTGGACCCATAGTATGCCGTTTATTATTATATGTGTGTTGTTGTGGGTATAGGTATTTTGGGGGAACTCACTAAGCTTTCGGGCTTACAGTTTCAGTTTATTGTTTCAGGTGCATCATGGGATCGTGGCATGGCTAAGGCGTGATCGTACAGCTCCTCATCTTTTGTTATGATTTCTTGGAAAACTCTTATATAAACTATTTTTGGGAACAAAGTTGTAATGATTATTGATTTAAAGTGTTTTTGAAAAGTTTAAATTTAGCTTGAATTTTATGGGTGTTACAAGTTGGTATCACAGCCTTGGTTTGAATGAATTGGAGGAACATTCGTGTGAATCCAGTCTCAAATCAAGGAAAGGTTTTCAAAATGATTTCTAAAATGATTCCAAAATAAGTAAAGGAGGACGCAGGGTGTGCGGTCAGCTGGAGCCAGTAATTAGACCCCAAAATACCATACAGTTATTGGTTACTGTGATATGATAGAACAACATGCTAGTACTAAGGTAGGGATCTTCAGGAATTGCATGATAGAATTGTCTGATTATATCATGCCTGATAGCCTAGGGTTTCCTTTATATGAGATTGACATCATTACTTTAGTGTATGCATCACAATTACACATAATTAAGATCGTATAGCTTGAGAATGTTTGATTTGGCCTTATGTTCTTTTCTTGTTTGATTAGGAGCTTATGGTAGGATTGGATATTCGAAAGTCTGTGGGGTCCAGTGTTATGTATGGCTAGCATACACTAATGTTGCAGGGTTGGTGGAAGTTTCATGGTTGGGTGGGTTGTGAGAGGTCGAGAGGCCAGTTACGAGATATTTAGCATTCCCGTAGGAATGCGTATTGAGCGCTCGCCATGATATATATATATATATATATATATATATATATATATAATATATTATATATATATTATATATATATATATATATATATAAAATTAGGGTCTTGTGATGATACTTGAGACAAATATGGGTAGGTGTGGAAGGTAGTATCGGCCTGTACTACTGAAAGCACATGACCCATACGCGTAACAAGGAAGTCAGAACCCCTAGGGTTGGGTAGGGAGTTGGTCCCCTGTCATATTATGGATTATCAGAGATCTTTATGGTGTCTTACCAGAATGGCGGTTACGAGATGTCTTGAGACTGGATCCACATTAGGATCGGGAACTGGCATCCGGGAGAAGCCAACATTGTTAGAGGACATTGTTAGGGAGATCATCCAGGAGGAAGTGATCGAGATTGTTCGGGGACAGATTCCGAAGATATTTCGTTCTTTCAAGACCGTCATGGTTGAGTATTTGTCGAGTGTCATGCAACCATTGCTGAGACAACTACCACAATAGCTTCAACAGCCGTAATGACAGCAGGGAGAGGAGCTGGTCGAGTTTTCCAGTACCGAGACTTGTTATTGGAACATATTATGATGAGCAGAGGGTTGCAGTTATTTGGAATCAGGGAGGTGTTCTGTACATGTTACAGTCCGTAGATTAAGCGGGAGAGTCTAGCACATGCTTTTCTAGATTTGAGGCTTCGGGGGTTTTGCTCGAGGCCGAAATGTGAGTCATGGGGACTCCGGAAAGGACTAATGATTATGTTCAGCTGGAGTTATGCATCTGGAATTAAAATGGTTAAATGATAGGATTGGGATGTTGTTTTCTAGGGCAAGGATTGTACCCTTCCATTTTTTGTGACCCCAGGATCAGGTTGTATTTCAGCTCGAGGTTAGTTGATCGTCGGGATTTGCGACAATAGTTCAGTGTAGGTGGGTCAAGGTAACATATGTGTCTTGTGAGATCCGATTCTCCTTGGATCTCTTGTATCAGATGGTAAGGATTGATTGTGTGATCTAATTTTTTAGGATTATAGACTACGTCTTGGGAGTTGGGAGTAGTTGTAGCCGGTTTAGGGCATGGTTTGTTCCCACTACTAAAATTCAGTTGTGGTTGATTGAGTTGGGGAGTGAGTCCGGGTGCGATGCCCTAAAGGATACGAGTTCTAGAGATGAGAGCGAGAGATTTGTTGGAATACTTTGGGAAGAAGGGTATTATGTGGGAGGTCTATGGATCGGGTCGCACAGGATGGTTATTCAGCATTGTTAGGATTCAATAGTTCAGTAACCGTTATTGATTGGCAGAGAAAAGCGTCAAGGGAAGTAGCTCGTTGTTGAGATACCAGTTGGAGCAACTATCTTTGGACATCAGGATTTGGGTGTGGGATCATTTGAGCATTAGGGATTGTCGGTTTCCCTGGGATTCAGGAAGTGTTCATCTAGTTATCATAAGTGTGTGTTCATTTGTAGTTGGCTAGTAAACAAGTACTAGTTGGAAAGGTCTAGTTGTTATCAGATCATTCATAAAATGAGAAGGATTAGGAATATCAAATTTTCATATGTTGTGAAGACTTAGTCAAATCTAAGTGGGGGAGAATCATCCCAAGGTTCAGAAGCAGGAGCGGTTTTGAAAATGGGACAAGTTTTGCTTCGTTGTCAAGAAGGAAGACAACCTACGTGGTTGTTTGGTTTGAGGGTTGTATGATTTGGGAGTTCGGTAGAACTCCCCCAGCATGTGAATCGCATCTTCTCGACGCTTGGTAGCAGAATTTGGGGAAAACAGGTTGGGATTCTAGCCATGAATTAAGTTCAGTGGTGTGTTAGGACGAGTGCGTGTTTAACCAGGATGGAAAGTGTTATAAGACTGCAGGGGTAGCCATAGCATTCACTAGCAGCAGATAATGCTAAAGTGATGTAAGTTTGTGGGTGTAGCTGCAACATTTGCTAGGGTGGTGGATACCATGAGGGCGTTGTTAGGATGCGGAAGGGACAGTGGTAACCACCAGTTTGGGTGTAACAGTGAG